GAGCCCTTTGTGGGATCTTTCATAATACACTTCTAGTATTTCCAAGAAGTGTTCTTGGGGATCCAACCTGCACTGAGAAATGGCATAAACCTCTCAAGTCAGAGATCTTATTTTTAAAATAAAAACAAAATATAATGTGTTAGAAGTTACTTTGGTGTCCAACCATAATGAAATGAGGTGTATTTCTCCGTCTCCAATTTGCACATGATATGGAAGGGGTCAATTTGACAGAGTGTAACTTGCAGTCAACAGTTTCCCAAAGTGCTCAAAGAAAAATGCATCTTCTCCTTTTTAATCAGACTCGTGAATAGATAGGGATGTTTTTGTATGCACTTGGAAGTCTCTTACTCTGCGAGTTGGCCCATTCACTGTGATTTTTCCTGGAACATGGTACTACCCAGGGTACCTTTGCATATCATAGCCTCTGCCATCATTTTTAATAAGTAGCTTATCTCTGTGATGCCACTAAAAGCAATCCTGAGTGTCTCCAGGGTTTGTTGTAATTATATTTTATTGTTGCATTTGAAAATGTACAGTTTTTGAAAACTGGAGCAAGTAGAATGGAAAGGAGATTCTAGGAGGTGATAGTCTGTTTTTTGAAGGTTTTAACCCTTTGTAGTTTCACAAGCTTAGTGATGCTCCCCAAGTAACTGTTCCTATATGCAACTGAAGTTATCAACTATAGCAGCTAATGTCGTTTATTAGCTGATGTCAGGTAACCCTGCAAAGATTATCATTTATACCTGCAGTCAGATGCTGTAGGATCATAGGTGCAGTAATTTGTGGGTTCCTAGTAAGATTGTAGAAGACCTTTTCCGAAAGTCTTACACTTCTGCTGCCCCTTTCTTCTCCAAGCATTTACAGCTGCAAGGGAATTACTGCCAAGTCCCAATGCTGCCCCTGAAGTGCTGTGGAGAAGGGCAGGGTTTACCAGCTTCTGATCCAAACAATAAAGAAATGTCACTGTTTTGAGCAGAAAACTGACAAGTTTATCGATACCGTTATCTGGCATTAAACTGCCATGCCCAGGCACCACCACCCAAGTCACTGAGGAGTGCGTGCAGTTGCATTTGGGCCCACACCTTGTGCAGTCAGTGGGGCTGCTTGTACTCTGCATTGGGGGACGGAGCTTCGCCTTGGTCGTTGTGCCTGCTTCCCCTCCCTTCCCAGCTCGTCAGGACTGCTAATCAAGCAGTCATTGCAGTTTCCCCCTTTGTGTTTTATTCCTGCTTGGTTTGCTTGCCACGGGATGCGGCAGACTGGTTTTTGGAGATTCATATAACAATTTTTTCCAAATCAAAATATTTCTTCCAACAATGTCATCTTTTCTGTCCAGCATTGCTAGTAATCTTTATTTAGTTATTTACTTTACCATTTCTAGAGGGATTGGATGTGCCCAAGGCGCCCCTTTAGGCAACACTTTATATCAAGGTTCCATTTATAAATACTTCATGAAGGGCTAATGAATGATTAATAGATGTTTTAATGTATGACCAATCAATTGTTGTAGATTTCGCAAAGTCCAACGGACAAGTAGGTTTCTTATAAGCATAGATTATAACCCTATCTGACATCTTCTACTGATGGGCTTCTAAACATCTATAACATACACACTACTCATATCTGTAACATGCTTAAAACATCTACTAATCACTGATTAATTTTTTATAACCTATTTTGAAGCAGAGCCTGTCGGTGGAGTACATCCCTTACTGGTGTCTGTGACTCTCCGTTTCTATAGGATTGATAATTTACTCGTCATCTGAGGACTTAGAACTCCTACTAATTTCAGCTCAAACATTAAGCTGTTCTGAATTAGCTTCAGCATTTTCACCTCGGCCTAAGAAAAAATGTCTTTGCTGTCCCCAGACTTTTTTCTCCCTCAAACTTCTGGCTACTTTACCCTGCTAATGTGCATTTTGCAAGCTCTGCTAAAATGCAATGATTCTTAGGGGGCAAACCCACTCTACGATACATTTTCAGCCTTTTGAACTCTGTTTGATTGGTCTCTGGCCAGCTGTGCCAGCGATAATGGTTCCCAGCATTTTTTAATTATTTTTTTTTTTTTTACGGTCATCCCTGTGTGCTTGGTTCAAAGCTTGTCCATTCTCAGAAAAGGATGAGAAAATATAATCTTCACAATAATCCAGTGAACAAGCCATCTCCCAGAGGATATTTGATTCTGACAGAGGAACACGCATTTTGTATGTTTGAGAAACCCAGGTGTTGATAGGAGTGTTCCTCTGTGGGATTCCCACAGTCTCCTATGGTGAAAGCCGTGACTGCGCTCTATGCTTTATACGGAGCACCCAGGTAGAAGCAATCGAAGTGGGCAGTACAACTCACTTCCAGAAAATTTACGAGTCCTGCAATTAATCATTTGCAGTTGGGAAGCAGGAAGTTGCTTAGTATCATATTTTGCAAATTAATTTTGAATTTTTAGTCGATTTCTACTGAATTTAATCACAGGGTTGAGTCCTCTGCTGTGATTTATCTAGATGTTGAGAGCAATTCTTTAATGATATAAATTAAAAGGATCTGCAGGTTTTTCTCATTTCTGGGGTCATTAGTAAAAAAGTCTCTGTTCTGAATATCCCCAAGTAAATATCCCACTCCCATTCAAATCAAATGCTAATCTCTCACTCATTGCTGTTTACGGCAGGATTAGGCTGTTACACCTGCGGCATTAGCACATTGAACCTTAAGAAACACATCAAGCATAACTCCAAAAAAAAAAAAAATAAAGAGTAAAAAAAGAGAGTTTTATTCTTCAGTATTAACATGGAATTTCCTCTGGCTTTTTTAAAACCATTCATTGTCAAAGACACCAAAGCCTCAGAAATAAGAACCTCTCAAAACTACTCAAGCTCTTGGAGTAGACTGTTTGTTACCCACTTTAGCACAATCGCTTTTATGTTATCCAGTTAGCACTCTGTGTTTCTGTGTTTATCGAGGGGTTTACCGTGATCTTTTCTTTTTTTTTTCTTTTTCAGCTGGTTAATAATCCGCTAGCAAGTCAAGCAGCAGCGGCTGGGACAGC